GAGAGGCTGTAAGAGAGTCTGTCTCAAAAGTTTAGCATCTGAAATTCATGAACACAAGGGTGAGCAGTTGTTACTCCTCTCTGCATGGCTTTAGATACATAGATCTTTGTCCTAGAGAAAGCTCTGCATCCTTTTTTTTTTCCCCAGGATTATTTTTTGCTTTAGGAAACTATAATAAATAGCTGTTCAGAAGGAACTATAGATTGATAGTTAAAACTATCTAGAAGTTAGAAGTGCCAGGGTTAAAATCAGAGCTCTATTAATTCACCTGGTTTATGCTCTTAATTCCAATTCATCCAGATTTTTCAGTCAAGATTTTCTGCTTGTTTTATACATTTTTTCATAATTTAGCATAGTTTGATGCTGAATAAGTAAAGAAGTACACAGAAGCAAAAAGTTGAAGGTCTTATCTAAATATCATATTCAGTACATTCTGAAGATATTTTCAGCTACCTTATCAGAATTCTTTGTTTCACTCAAAACCTACTCTAAATATAACCCCATCCTAATAACATTAATAGAAGTATTCTAATATTTATTGAAGAATGAAATTAAAGTAATAAAATTAACATTAGGAGGTATGAGCTTGTGGTAGTTTTAAGCAAAACTTGCAATTTAAGATTAATGCAGTGAATTCTTTTTCCCAAAATTTGGTTTAGTGCATTTAATATTTTCATATATTACCCACAATAGTTTGCATTCATAATTAGTATTCCATGAAACTTAGCAATTCTTTTATTCTTTTCAGATAGAGTAATTTGCTTAGGAAAAATAAAAAGATTAATTTTATTTCAGCTATTGGTCAAACAGTTCAGGCTGCCTCCTTTAAAACTGATCATTGGGATAGCAAATTCAATCAGAACCAAAGTTTTTTATCTGCCTAAGGAAATTCTTATTTCTTGGTTTTATTTTGCTAAGAACCTTTCCACAGCTGGGAACAACTGGGTGTGTCACTTTTAAAGAGCTGGGTAAGGAAGTGCTTAGCATTTTTAAATAGTAACTGTGCTGTCAACTGCAAGTCCCTAGGCTCGTATGACATTCCTACTGTAATAGAATTGAAAAAAGCATCAAAAGAAATATTAAGACAGCCTTGCATTACTAAAAAAAAAATAAAGCTGCTGTGTTTTAAAATAATATTTCTAATTGGAAATGATTTTAAGAAATTTTAAAAGTATACTGAGAATTTAGGATGGTGACGTGCACTTATGCAAACAACTGAGAAGATGTACATATGACTGTGAGAAATAAGTCCATCTGGATAATTTTTACTGGAAAACATGACACATTGCTGTACTCTACCACTGAGCAATAACTTCTGCAGATTTACAGAAATACCAGAAGATAAATCTCAGACATTAATCTATACTCTCATGTTCATTGGCAGAAGAGACGCCATCCATGATGGTATATTTTTCCACACCATAACAACTAATCTCATCACTGATCTTGCAAAGCATAAAGCTTGCAATCCTTTGAACAGCAGCCAGTAATTTTAGCCATCTCTCTTCACACAAACTTTTAAACAATAAAATTTTAAGCTGCTATTTCTTTGCAAAAAGGATAATCGCATAATCACTTGAAATACAGTCTCTAACATACTGGAAATGTAAGAGGATTCTTGTCCTAGATAAGTAGCAATTACAGAGAAGAGTTTCATATTGTGCCTATACATCACCTAAGACACCATTAAATATATATATATAAAATATATATATATAAAACAAAGTACAATTGAAAGTTGCAACTTCATTACCAAATAGGAATATTATTTGTTAGCATAGCTTTGGCAAGCCACAGGTAACAGGTTACCTTATGCTCCTATGACTCAAAAAATATTCATTACAAACAAACAAAAGCTTGGTATCTCTTAATGACTTGACATTATCATATATAATTGATGACACAAAGATATGGTGGTATCAGTTAGAGTGAAAAGGAGAAAGCACATCAGAAACAGGGTATGAGGAGAAAATAAACAAAGTAGAAGGAGAAGATAACTCTTCCTGCTGGGAAGGAAGTCTAGCCAGGTGGAACACAACAAAGGCCTGGTAAGGTGCCAAAGAGCCCACAAAACAAGAGGCCCCAAAAGTAAGTGTTAGGAGGAAATGCTTCTGCACATAATACATCATTAGACTGGAAGTGTTCCCACTGCAGATGTCCAGTATCAGAGCTATTATGGGGGCCAAATAGCAATGAGACAAATTCACATTGGGCAACCATGGCTCATAGAAATGCAACTTCCCAGTCAGAGTCATCCACTGGCTTTACTATGACATATTAAGACAACTCTGGTGTCCTCCTTAGTGTTAAAGGGGGAGTCCACTCTTTCAATAGCATCCTCCTCCTTACAAACTCTTCACGTACAACAGGAGCTATATATTTTCCATCTGGTAGTACACAGTAGTAGCCTACCAGAATACTATGTACTGTTCACAGCAATCCCAGCCTCAAAAGCTAACTGCTCAAGCAACAGTTTGTCTAATCTACTTTGGGCAGATAAAATGCACACACTAACAATGGTACAACCATAGAAAACGAATACTACTGAGGTGTAAAAACACATGCTGCTTCAGGCACACTTTAATATTATCCTGTATAACCTATCACAGTCAATTCAAAATGAGGGCAATTAGCTTCAGGTGATGATGGCAAAAGAAATTTGCTTAGGAACGCCAGATAACTAAAAATGAAATGTAATCTTTTTCATATGCCTTTTCTCATATGCTGACTTTTTTTTTTTTCCAATAAAAGTTTTTACTTCATGACAAGAGTGATTTACTTTCAATGCTGAAACCAAGGTTAACAGAGGACAACAGAAAAGCCATGCATGAAATAGTATTCCTTTTCTAATGACTGGCATCCTAGAAATTTTGAAATAGCTTATTCTACTTATTTCTATTACATTAAAAAACTAGATCAGATATTTCTTGATCAGACAGCATTTCTCTCCTGATATAACTTTCTCTGGAAACCTTTTAAAGACTTGCTTGCCATCTGGGTGATCAAATAATGTACAGTTGACTTTCCAATGGAGAGTTATCTAGGTACAACTTATTTCCTTCACTTCTTGGAACAAAACTTCCCCCCTGTCCCTCTCCAAACTCCTAAATATATCAAAACCTGTTATCATAGCTCAGTTAATACTTTACAACGTGTTCTGATACAAAAGTTTTAAATTACTCTGTAAGCCCTTTAAACATACTGTGGAGCTGTTATATGATACATAATGTGTGGAAAATCAAACTTACATTTAAACAAATCAAAGAGCATGCCTATACTGCTGCCAGCTCTCTTGACTGTAGCCCAGACTCCCAGCATTGTTTTCCATAAAAAGCAATCAAATCTGATTTTTTGAAAAATACTAATTAATCTATTGCCGAGCAGGTATGAAATAATATGCCAATTGCCTTATGACAAATTCACATTCCAGCCTTACTCTTTGCTCCTGGAAGCAGAACTGGTAGCACTGCAAAGATCCAAAGAAACAAAACAAAACAAAACACTCCACAGTTACAGACCCAACTAGAGTAATTTCATGGCTGACCTCACTTGGGCACTGTGGTTAACGTAGGGACAGGTTGGACGACACAGTTTGCACAACAGTTTGCTAAATCTACCTTCCTGACCTGCCCTGGGTTTCAGTTTGCCATTTACACCACTGAGGACAAGCTCCTGACAGCACCCAACCAGCTCATCTATACCCTTAGAGCAAACCTCAACCAAAATAACTTTAGCAAGGGTTTTTGTGGATAACGAAAGCTTGGCAGAGCTTACCAAGCCTCCAGCTTTCAACATGATATATGAGCCAGCATAGAAGATACCAGCGTTATGGAGGGGTGCCAAATCCCCAAAACATCAGCAAGAAGTTATTTTTCAGATACGAGTCAAAGACTGGGGGGAAAGGATAAAAAAAAAAAAGCATTTCCAGCTCAAGTATCAAACATCAAAATGGTACGAACTTTCATTCTGAAACCAAATAAATATGGCAACACAGTACCATCCAGTCCACCTATACAAGAGATTTCTCTTTAATTAAAAGTTGATGTCATTTCACCTTACTTTTTTCCTGGTATGTACAGAAGGATTACTGCCTGTTCCTCGTTAATAAAGCCAATACATTAAAACATGAATCAGTTCTTAACATTTCACTTGACAGGTTTTCAGAACAGTCCACAAAAAAACCTCTTCCTGTTTGGAGACTTAACAATAAATTCATCCTTTGTACCAACACAACAAGAGAAGCTAATACTGTAATAAAGCAAGAAGCCCACATCTTTTGGTGACCTGTTAAGTGCCTACATATGGAAGTTCCACATTAATCCCTCAGAAACAAGCAATAAGACTCATATTAGGAGACACAGTAGTCCTGAAATTAGAGAATCCAGTAATTATATCTCAGAATCAAATTACTTCTATTTCACAGAAAAAACTTCCTCCTCTGTAAACAAGACAATTACTCTGTACAATTCTGTCCTTAGTTTCAACTCATATTTTGAGAGAAGGTGCAACACTCAGTGACATACACCTGGTTAACATTTGGAGCAGAGGAAATAGCAGTCCTTCGGGAATACCATGCCCAAGCTCCACTGCAATTCAGACAAGCATCAGAAAAAACACCTCAGCCTTTCAGATTTCACATCAATAATCTCAAAACATAAAGGAAAGTGATGCTTGTTGTATCATTTAGCAGTTAATTTTACTGTAAGCTTAAAATAACCTAAGCAGATTTCATTCCATATATAAAATGTTGTAAATATTCATTAACAATTACTTTGCTTATGTGAGGTTTAATAATAATTAGTTTCTGAAATTAAATTTGTGCAAACCTTATTGACTAGTTTCAAGAACATATAAACCTTCACCACAGTATTCAGAACTGCTCTTACCAGATTAAAAGAAGAACTTTCCATAGGCAAACATTTAAAAAAAAAGTTTGAGAAACATATTCAGCTAAGCTTAGAGGGAGAAGGGAGGGGAAAAAACAAAACCACAAAACTCACTTGACTGTAACTCGATTGGACAAATCCTGGAGATCTCCTGGATGAAAAAGTTGAGCTTCTTTCAATCCAATATTTTCACAAGCTTTCAGAAAAACATTTATATTATCCTGTGGAGAGAAGCAGAAAGCAGTTGCTAAGTTAGAAGCACTAGGCACTAAGCAGGTTTTGCAAGATGATTAGTGCGAGCCTCTAAATGTCAAAGTCCAGCTCATGGAAATAAAAATAAAAAAAGCAAATCTTCTGGATCATAAATACAGGTCGTTTCTCATATACACATGCAGCCAGTGATCTTGGTGACTGACTGATACGTTAAAGATTACCTGGCATAAAGCAGCAGCTAGCCAGTAGGCAGCAATCTCCGCTTTGATGTCAGCTCTGTTCAGCAAACAAACGCCCTCTTTCTAGCTTTGCATGACAAGCCTCACCTCTTGCCTTTAAAAATAACCCCAGCTACTGACATTCACCACCCAGAAACTCTTGGCAGGAGAGGAAGAGGAGGAACACGCTGTTTCTATGATTACAGACCAATTATGGAATACTGCACCTGGAATCTGGGTTTGGTTGCTGAGCAAGCTCCTGAGAGACAGAAACCAAACTGTATTCAGCCCCGCTGCTTCCTCAGTTGTGGGGATTGCTCTCCCCTTCCTCTCCCCCCCCCCCCCCCCCCCCCCCCCCCCCCCCCCCCACCCCCCCCACCTCTCCGTAACACCAACATATAACAAAACATAGGTGCAGTGGTGTATTGCAGCACCCACCTGCTGCACCTGCTACAGATCAACAGTCTGGCAAGGGCAAGGTTAAAGGGGGAGGAGGGAGAAACCTCACACGATATAGTGAGAGATTATACAACTTGTGATCTCTTTCCACTTCATAAACAATAGGCAATAGGCAAGAAATTCCTTCTCGTTAACGTGGAATGCTATCAACAACAAAAGAATTTGCCCTCTTGCGCACTTCTCAGTTTGGTTGAAAGCCACAGGAAAAGGTACACAGTTACTTAGCTCATAAACTGCACACAGCCACGTTATGCTGTAGGTTTGTAAAGTCAAGATACTTATATCAGAGTTTCACAGTATGAAAAAGCTACACTTCAGCAGTTTAATACACTTTAAACCCCCACCTTTTTTTTAATTACACATAATCACTGAGCATAACTCACTAAAAAGAAGTCCACAAAAAGCAACAGCTGCTTCAACTGCATCAAAAGTAAAACAAATACTTAAAGAAAAAAAAGTAAATCCAAGAATCCCCTCAACCTTCTGTTTTGGAGGTCCCCAGGATTCCCCTTATTTCTTATCAGTCTGCAAACATGATATTAATCAAGGAAAATATTTGAACAAGGTAGTCCTTGTGCAGGCTGCGGCTCTGTGTTACCACATCCATAAGATCTCAGCTGTCTCTCAAACCATCGGTGTTATGCCCCAAGGTTTGACATAGTGTGCCATAGTGGGGACCATTCTACTGGGGATTAAAGGGGAGGAGAAAAATGCCACAGCAGTGACAATGTGGGACATGATAAGGCGCTGCATGAGCAGCCAGGAACAATAAAGGACAGGTAGCCTCACCTCCGCACCAGCTCCTGCAGCACCCAAAAGGCTGCTTGCACAAGCAGCCAAGCTAGAGCTTTGGGTCAGCGTACCCATAGTACACTTTTCTTTCCCATTCTCCTTGCACTTTCACGTAACACTGGCTTAGAAATGGCATTTTTTGCTTAAAGCGTCACCTTAGTACCAAGAGTCAAGACATAAAAAAGGCAGTTTCCTTTTGTATAGGAGAGGCCACAATTTACAATCCTACTGCAAGTTCCAAGGCAGGGTGCTCTGATGGGTTTACCAATTGCCAAAAGTCACAGTAATCTAGTAAATAGATCATCAGCTGAACTGCAGAGAATGCCCGCACTGTGCACATAAACAAGGAAGAAGAGTCAGAGACTTAGAAAAACCGATGCTGCCCACACCCCGAGTGTAATGAAAACATGAGTACTTGCTCATCACTGGTGGCTCAGCTGTACAACAACAAAATTGTTGGCATATGAGAGAATTTGAGGTGTTGTAACAACTGAACTAAGACATCAACCTCCTGATGAACAACACATATGGCACCTACAATGCATTAGTTAACACCTTCAGAAACAAGTCAAAGAAAGGGGGAAATAAAAATGTGACACAAAACTCAGCTAGGAATGGCACTCACTGGCATATAGAATGGAAAAGCTTAAAATCTTCCTCTCCCCAGTTCCCAAGCAAGTAGTTTGATCATACTTGTCACTGCTCTAGTTAACTCTGAGCTTTCCCTAAAGCTGGCATCTGGGATTCACATCAAAAACAGCAAGATCATCCAGAAGGTTAAAGCACAAGTTTGAATACTGACACAAAATGGTGTAGCATCAACAAATTAGGTCTTCTGGATACTGTACTTGTAAAGGTCTCTCGATCATTTCTAATCACCACAGAAAATCACTGAAGATACAAGTCCCAAAATAGCTGGCAGCCATTTTAAAGTCTTACAGAATAAAAAACCTGAAAATGAATTTTAAATAGTACTAGAGAAATAAGCAGAAAAAAAAATGACAAGCTGTCAAGCTTGCAATTAGATTCATGATTAGAAATGTGAACGGGAACATTGTTCAGTGATTAAAGTGCTCAAATATAGTAACCATCATGCTATTCCTTTTACCAAGTCATGAAATATAACTATACTTTTGTAAGACTAATGGTTGATACCCTTTCCATTTCAAACGCTGTACTGGAATCTTAATCTCATCATGCTACATAAAAAAAGAAAAAAAACTCAGACCTCAAACATCTGGAAAAGGACAAATCTATTTCCTTGTGACTGCAAGGCACACAAGCAATGTGTTTGAGAAAAACAAGTTTAACACATGTTCCTATATGCCTTCTGCAAACAAGATGCTCTCAACCTTTGTAAACCATGGCTGAGTGTCTAATTTTAAGAAAGATTCAAAACAACAGAATTGCACAAAAAGATGTCATATGTTGAGAAAAAGACAAGGAACTTAAATAATAAGCAGAGAATGTGGTTTGGTTATGCCAAGAAAATCATACTTGGGTTTTGGTTGGAAGGAGTTCTAGAGTTCACCTAGCCCCAACCCCACTGCTGTAGGCAGAGATACCTTTCACTAGATCAGATTGCTCAAAGCCTCATCCAACCTGGCCTTGACCATTTCTTGCAGGGATGGGACATTCACAACTTCTCTGGGCAACTTGTGTCAGTGCCTCATCGCTCTTAACGTTCACTCAACCTTCCTCTAGTTTAGTCATTATTCTTTGTCTTATCACTGTTATCCCTGAGATAATGAATCCCTCCCCATCTTCCCTGTAGGCCTCCATTAAGTACCTGAAGGTCACTAGAACTTCCTTCAGAGCCATCTCTTCTCAAGACTGAATAACTCTCAGCCTCTTTTCAGAGGAGAGGCACTCTAATCATCTTCATGGTTCTCCGCTGGACCTGCTCCAACAAGTCCATGTACTTCTTATGTTTGGGAACCCAGAGCTGAATGCAGCACTCCAGGTGAGGCTTCACGAGAATGAAGTAGAGGGGGACAATCATCTCCCTATCCCTGCTGGCCGCACTTCTTTTGATGCAGCCTGGGATACAGTTGGCTTTCTGAGTTGCACACACATACTACTGCCTCACACTGGGCTTTTCCATCAGCCAACACCCCCCCAAGTCCTTATCTGCAGGACTGTGCTGAATCCATTCTCCACCCAGCCTGTATTTGTGCTCGAGATTGCCCTGACCTATGTGCAGGACACCTTACACCTGGCCTTATTGAACTATGTAAAATTCACACACACCCACCTCTCAAGTCTGTTAAGGCTGATCTGGATGGCATACCTTCCCTCCAGCATGTTGACTGCACCACTCAGATTGATGTCATCTGCAAACATGCTGAGGGCACATTCAATCACGCTGACCATCTCACTGACAATGGTGTTAAATAACATTGGTCCCAATTCTGACACCTGAGGAACATCACTCATCACTGGTCTCTACTTGGACATCAAGCTTTTGACCACAAATTATTGAGTGCAACTGCCCAGCCAGTTACTTACCAATTAGTGGTCCAGCCTTCAAACCCATCTCTCTCCAATTTAGAGACAAGGATGTCATGCAGAACAGCATCATATGATTTGCACAAGTCCAGGCAGATGCCTGCTGCTCCTCCCTTATCCACCAAGACTTGTATCCCTGTTGCAGAAGGCAACCAAATTCATCAGGCAAGATTTGCCTTCAGTAAAGTGATGTGGGCTGTTACCAATAACTTCTCTGTTTTCCACATGCCTTCACAGAGTTTCCAGGAGGATCTGCTCTCTGTAAGACACAGAGGTGAGACTGACCAGCCTATAGTCACTGGGCTGTATGAATTGTGAGAGGCAATGCTATTACCTTCTATGCCCTCAAGGGGAGTAACAGCAAAGGGAAAAGAATAACTGGCCATTCCCAAAGCCCATGATATGAGGATACACAGTCAAACAGATTACATACACGCAAGTTTCTGACTATTAAAAGATTTTGAACTAATGGTGATAACAGTGACAGAAATCAACTAGATGTTTTCAATACAGAGTCTGATCAACGCACATCCATGAGCATCTAGAACTGGAATTAGAATGATGCCATTACATTTTTTTGTTAAATCGTAAGAAAAATAAAGCCTGAAGTGTTAACCACAAAATTCAAGTGCAGACCATTTTTGTTGGATTTATACTACTTGTAAATTTTTCCTGGGAGGCTGAAAGGACTCAGAGCTGTATGCTTTTCCCTAGTCTATGTGTATGAGGAAACAGAGTATTTAGATGCTCCAAGCACAACTTCAGTTTCCCACAAGCTGTACAGACTTACATTAAAAGCACAGCGCAGAATGCTGACTAGGTATAGCTTTTACCATTCAACATTTCATTTTTGCCACAAACTTCAAAGTAAACCACACCCAAACCCTCTGTGCAGTTGTAACATAAGAGAGGCTGAGCCTGCAGTGGGAAGCAGGTCAAGCAGTTGGCACTTAAATATTGCAGTTAGAAGGAATGACAACTGATACCACACGCTTTCAGGCACGCACCTGCCTTTCTGGTCCCCAAAGGGA